AAATATAAGTATTTTTCGTTTCACATATCATGGGGGCGAGATACTCAACCAAGGCCACATTTGGCCCCCGGGCCTTGAGTTTGACACACATAAGCCAGACATTTAGATGGAAAAATAAATTAATTTGCTGCTAAAGGCACCGATAAAAGAAAGCTGCGTTAATTTGTAATAAATGTTTAGGCAGAGCAGCATTCAAATGCACAAACTGCAAAACCTCTCGACTGGTAAGTTTTCTGTTTTAACTCATCTTTTTAACATACTTTACTCAAGCAAATTAAACGTACATAATACTTCAAAACATCCAATTTTTTCATATCAACGAACTCTTCGTTGCCATTTCATTCACTTCGGCTGCTTCTGTAGGTAAACGAATGCACATGGCAGCTGGGAACTGTTCAAATTTTCCTGAAGCTGTCAGTTAAGTAATATATATATATATATATTTCAGCTGCTTCCTTCTTCAGGGATTGCCACAGCGAACGAACTTGCACGAAGACTTGGCATACCCTTCCTGATGCAACCACAGACCACCAGCCTACCACAGCCCTCTGTGTGGAGCAGAGAGCTGCCATCTAAGGCGCCCGGGGGAGTAGAAGGTGGGGGTTAAGGCCTTGTTCAAGGGCCAAGAGTTGGGTAAATGAGGGTGGAGGCAGATGTGGGTGTTTCACCTTTCCCACCTACATTTTGAGGTTGTTGATCCAGGGGGGGTCAAACTGGCCACCTTCTGATCACAGGCTCACCCTCTCTAACCTCTGCACCACCACTCCCCTCTAAGGTAATGTCAAAAAAGTGTAGAAAGAAAAAAAAAACCATGAAATTCTAACAAGTACCTATAATGAGCAAGCAAAATATTTAAAAAAAATTCAGTTGCATGTTCCAACAGGAAAAAAAAAAGAATAAAGAATAAAGCAAAACAGGATGTTTACACCAGCTTTATTTACAATGTGGTTTCCAGGTTTTTGTGGCGTCTGAAGCACTTTCCCTTCAGCAGGTCCTCTACGGACAGATGACGGTTGAAATGAGTCGCTTCTTTTACACAAAACCACAAACCGTATGTACAGGGGTTTTATTTTTTATTACAGGTGATGTATAAATACAACACATTGGAAATAGGGATGTTATTTGCTACTTAAAAATGAATGAATTTTCAAATTAAAAAAAGAAAAGCAAAAGAGCACATTTGTTGTGTGCACCACTTTGGTGTTTTTCCAGATATAAAAATATGAAGTGATTTCTGCAGGTTTTTGAGGAAATGTTTCTAGTTACAGTTTAAACTTTTATTATCTCCGTCCGATTTGTATTTAAAAAGGTCTGAAAATGGTCCAGACTTACAAACCTCAGAATAAAAGCAAGAAAAACTCAACGGGCTGATTTTAAGTAGGAAGAAAGGAAACTAGACTGTTCTTTCTTTTTTTTATTTCAAAGAACCTTGAAAATAAAGAATATCCTCACATTCCTGAAGTAAATTCTAACAAGTCAAGCACATTGTGAATGAACTCCATCACATACAAAACTCATGAGCACAACAACTTCTGGACGGTTAAGAGCTGTGCGTGTGTTAACAGATGTGGTTTATGAAACCGATTCACACAATCAGAAAGCAAAAAAGAGAAAAATGTATATCTTTGCTAAGTTTTAATCTTTTACCACTCTGTATTGGAAAACCGATTTTATTTATTTAATAACCATTTTGTCCAGACGGCATTGAACCAAAACATCCACACACCTAAACCTGGTGTCTCTATAGAAGAAAATACTGCAATTGATGGTTTACATGATCACTGCAAATTCACCGTTGAGTCAATTAGAATTAGATTTTACATTAAATGATTATCAAGAACTTCTTAAATAAAAGAAATAAGCTGTACAGCCCGGCACATGTGGAGACCAGACTGCATTATGAATGTAACCTGTAAACACCGGGGCTGCATTATACATCTCAACCGAAACCTTTCTGGCGTTTGATGCAGACAAAAAACCTTCTTCTCCGTTTGTTGCACAAGTTATTTACCAGTACTTGCAACTTGATTACAGTCATTTCAACAGTATAAATGTTAATGTAATAATGTTACTAATAAAAAAAGAAGCCTAACACTGCTGCAAGAGAATAAATAAGTTGTTAAAACACATGGTATGGATTAAGCTAAGGTTACACAACGGAGCAAATGTGAATGAAACGAGATGAAAACCTGAAAAAGTCCTCATTAAGCCCATCTTAGATTTGATGCATCATGCAAATAAAGGTAAAACAGAACTGAGGCATTCGTTTTCAAAATGTGCAACATAAATCTGCGTATCAGCACATTTTAATGCTTTTAGTCCTAAAACCCAAATAATTCTTAACGGCATCAAACATTAAAAGGCACCAATCTGCAGGATTTAATCGTCTTTCATTTAAATAATCCTATATTTAGATCCTGGTGTAGTTTTCAGCCCTCAACTTTGTAACAAAATAAACTTTATAAATACAATTTGAATGATTCTAGTACTTAAAAAAAAAAAAAAAAAGAAAATGTATAAAGAACATACAGCAACTTCAAACTTGACCTAAAACACATACGGTTATATGCGTCCTGTGTAACACTGCGTTTTAAAAGTTACTTTGTTCCAAAATACGTCCTTTGTTAGTCACTTTAACACTGAAACACTAAATCTAAAAGCAGCCAGATAATAATTAAGATTAGTGAATATTCCTTTTACCTTTCCACACTTTGTCTTTTCTTTCTAAAGTGAATGAACATTTGTCTACACAAGAACATGCAGCTTCATCGTCATTCATTTTTTGTTTTAAATTCAAATTATTCAATTTGCATAATAAAAAAAAAGCCTAAACATGTTAAACATGACCTATACTACAAACATATATGAGTATTAAAGATGAATTTTGAAAACTAAATGCTTGATGAGAAAAACTAAGTCGGCTTAATGAGGGCTTTTCTCCTATATAAAAACACATCTGTAACGTTATTCACATTCTACATTTACTTTGTCGTTTCTGCTCCTTTTGCCAAATAAACAAAAACACGTGCTGGCATCGAGTTCAAAACTTCCCGTTATCAATACTTGGGGTGTTAAAAAAAAAAATTTACAACGCAATCAAACTATAAGGTAAGATGAGGTTTGACAATGTAGCGCAGGGGTTTAAGCTCTCGCTCCTCCAACACGTAAACAGAAAAAGACAGGAGAACATACGTCACCGAGGTTTCCACAAAATGGGCAGCCTGTGTCAAAATCCTCAAATACTGCAGAGAAAGCTTGTTGAACAGAAAACGCCGCTGCGTTCTGCTCCCTCTGTTTGTAACGTAATCGTAACAGACTCGTGGAAGCACAAGCAGGCATGTCCAGCAGGACTGAGAGGAGGTAGGAGGTTAGAGGAGATGAAGACGGTAACAAGAATGAAAGTGTTACCCAGCTGATGGAAACAATTAACTCAGGGAAGGGACTTTTCATGTCCTGACCCCATCCCTGTGCAGAGGAAGTTAGTCATGAGGTTGCTGCTGGTTATTTGCAGGCTGGAATCAATGCAAGGGTCATGCAAACAGTACGCAGGCAGGTTCATGCATTGTGTGCCTCAGTCTAGCCCTGCCAGCAGGAGAGGGGGGGTCAGTGTGGGCCACAGACGGACCAGGCCAGGCTGCTCATGGCTATGGGCAGGTCACTGGTGTACCAGTCATGCAGTGATATTGCTGTTAAAGGAGACGAGAGAGAAGTTAGGATGAGATGGCAGGGCTAGTAAGCAAATAAAAACAACATATGCTCATGACATACACAAATAAGATTCAAACAAAAGTTAATAGATTATTCATGTTATTCCCTTAAATGACAAGAACGGAATTTAAAAATAAAAATGCTTTAAAAAGAGGATGAGAGCAGAAGATGAGTGTCGATACCAACGTCCTATGTAGCGTTGAGTGAAACGAACGCTCAAAAAAAAAATCCTATAATTACCAGCGATGAACTGGTTCTAATGGAAGAGAAAATCTGCTTTAACGTGCAACACTGCCAGCTTCTTCAATAGTCCTGGGGGGGTTTCAAATCTAAAATATATTTATAGTCATGTTAAAGGGGAAACTGCAGAATTTCTTGAATAAAATAATTTATACAAGGTAAAAAAAAAAAACACCGACACACAATTGGCTGTTCGACATAATTCTGTAAATGCTGGTGGAGCTAAAACCAGTGGTTTTGCTAAACAGTGGCTCCTGATGATTCACTAAACGACGTATGATGCACAGCAGCATTTAAAAATCAACCTCCCTGTGGATTGCACCTTTGGAAACAACTTAAAAACCCAGTGAAGTGGCTCATCTCAAAGAAAAACATCCCAAATTATTGCTTTACTTTTTCATCCAACAGTTAGCCGTTGTCTCCCATATAAAGGTAATCCTATTAAATCTATAAAATCAGACAACAATTAAACACCGAAGCATTAATACATCTTCCTATGACTCCGTAGCTTAAGACTGATTTAAAGTCAGATGATAAATTCTAACATTGTTTCCTTAAAGCTACTAAATTAGAATTCAAACGTTACAGGACAGTCGGTTCCTGTCAAAAGCAAAAGTGACCGTCAGATGACATCACAGGTAGACGCGTGCATCAATGCTGCATGGGAAGTCCCTTTTATCAAAAGTGACAGTATCTTTTCAAGAAGGCGCAACTCTTCCGAGTCCAGATTATCTGTTTGCCACTCAGAACAAGTTCAAGTGGTGGCTGAGACGGAGGAAGAGGGGATGTCTGGAGTGATTAGTCTTTCTGTCAAATACGCTGAGGTCTGAATATGGTCAAAGTCTTGCATCTCGAAGTAAAAAGTAAGATTTAAGAACAAAAAAAAAAGATGCAAGATTCAGTTTTGCCTGGAATCTTTACCTCATGGATCTGATTGAGAAGAAAAACAGAAAATCATTAAGAAGAGCGCAGAAAACCTTCTGTAGGAAATGGAAACCTGCTGAATGCAAACTCGGGGGAGTGAAGTTGGTGCAGTGGGGCTCTTCGTTCGTCTACCTCGTGGTAGCTGGCTGGACGTGGCCTGGGTAGGAGCGGCGTGAGCTGGTGGCTTGTCTCTGGCGGGCCAGGAAGGACTGACCAGAGCCGGTGTTGGCGAGTCTGTCTTCAGCCGCCTTCTTCTGCATAGACATGCCCTGGGAAATTTAAAAAAAAAAACAATTGGAGAAGTGAAATCCATTTTAAAATACATGAAAACGTATGACTGATGAACACTAAACCAGCAAATGATCTCAAACAGACGGGTTAGTTAAAGCACGGTTTTGGAAATACAGTCCGAGGTGCCTTGAGATTAACTCTAGACATCTCTCTGATTCCAGCAGAGGGATCACGCACGGTTTTATTTAATAATCCCTTATATGGTGTTTTGATTGTGGTGCTGGCAAGCCAGGTCTAACAAGATTTATGTGTTTGATTTGGTCGAGAACTAACGTTTCAAACGTCACAGGATATCTTAGTCCATTTCTCTATTACTCTGACAACTTAATGCGCCTTAGTTGATGTTGGATGGGAGCACAGTTAGCCTGGATGGAATGACACTCATCAGAACAGAAATGGTTCATCATGGGGGAAAAGGCAAACACTCAAAACTATCTTGTTCTAAACTTTTGTCTTAGGGAGTGGGTGAACTCAAATCATGTCAGCAAAGTTCACATTTCTCTCCTTTTATGCAACCTGAATGAACTTGATAGGGTTGTACAGTTACAAAACAGTCTGTGCTGCTCTCTAGTGGCCACCTTTATTTCAAATTCTTTGCAAATACGTGACAATTTCTAAAGTTTTAATTATAGAAGCTGAAAACATAATATGGAGAATGCTATAATAACACGTACAGGTGCTGGTCATAAAATTAGAATATATCATGAAAAAGTTGATTTATTTCAGTAATTACATTCAAAAAGTGAAACTTGTGTATTATGTTCATTCATTACACACAAAGTGATATATTTCAAACGTTTATTTATTTTAATGTTGATGATTATAAATGACAACTAATGGAAACCCCAAATTCAGTGTCTCTGAAAATTAGAATATTATTGAAGACTAATAAAAAAATTAAAAAAAAGACTTTTTAGAAATGTTGGCCAACCGAAAAGTATGAAAACACACACACACACACAAAAACAAAAACAAAACCAAAAACAAAAAAGAGCAGCAGGGATAATTTCAGATATGTGCCCTTCTTACCATATTGTACCAAGCTGAAACAATTAACTTCTCCTCGTGATCTCTCTGGCTCTTCGCTTTGTCCATTTCTTTCTGTATGAAGAAAACAATTAAACAATGCAAGAATTTGCAACTAAATTTATTTTTAAAGAAGCAAACATGACAACTGATGGTGTCGATTTCTTTAATTGTCATTTTACCTCCAGTGAATGCAGCATTCTTTCCTTCTCCTGTAGCTGGTTTTTCAGAGCTTGGACTTCTGGACCTGAGCCCTGGTTCTGCTTTGGGTCCAGAGTCCGAATAACCTGCACAGAAAGATTTACATCACATACGTATGTTTACAATTAAATACAGCTACAGTACAGCTTGCAAAAATAGTTCAAACTTACACTTTTGGCTTTTTCTAGGTATTTCTTATATCTCTCTTCCATCTGTTTCATCTCGTCATCCTTTTTCTTCAAAGCTTCTTCTAGCTCGTCCACTCGTTGGGCTACCAGGAAAAACATTTTGATTAGCTCGTTCTACTTTGCCTCTACAATGAGTAAAATACTTCAGTGTAAGTACAGACAAAGCCAAAGCTTCATTTAGTCGTTTTAAATAAAATGATCCCGATCTGACCACAAATTATTGGGTTCAAGTTTGATGTAGTTTTCACAGACAAAGAGCAGTGATCATGTTTCTCCTCCTCAGCTCTAGTAGTGATGGAGGCTCGACAGTAAAAACAAGCAGCAGGAGAGAATGAAGGTCAGCACACTTGAGATATTCCACATTCGTTGAGGACTCACAGCTGGCGGCATATTTTGGCTCCATCTCATCAATTAAAGCGTTCTTCCTCAGTAGCTCGTTGTTCAACTCGTGCAGTTTTTCCCTAAAACAAAAAAAGGGTTTGATTACAAGAGATGTGACTTGTCATTTCATGTAATTTACATGGAAAAAAAAAATCTGATTTAATAAAATAAACCTTACTGGATCACTTACATGTGTTCGTCATATTTCTTTTTGAGGACAGAAGACTGAAAAATATAAAGAACAATTGTTTAAGATCTCAAACTACTTGCAGAAACAGTGCCGTTCATTTGAATGGGTTTGGAATAGGCAATTCTCATAGAACTACGTTTCCATAAATATCCACCAGAGGGCAGTGTGGACCAAAATTTATGAAAACTTGGAAAAACGTGTCCAGAACCACAACAACCTGTTACAACAGTGATAATCAACTGGTGGCCCATGGGCCACTTTAGGTTTTTTTTGGAGGAGACTTTTGTGGCCAGTAGTGATGACATTATAAAGCTAAAAATATCTAATGATTTTTATCATTTATTGATATTTTTACAATTTAATACAACTGAAAAGACCAGATTATTGTAAAGGTGGTGGTGGCAGTTTAAAAAAAAAAAAAATTTATGAACTGTGCAGACCTGTGTGATTTTTTAATTGTGGAAAAAAAACAATTACGCGTAGAAATAAAGCAAAAGCTTAATGAGTATTTGCAAAAGAAACAACAAGAAAACAGCTAGAACTTTTTTGTTGTTTGTAAAACCAATAAAATCCAGTTTTATGTCAGTTTTGGTCAAAGCTTGAAAGAGTCGCTACAGAGGGACCAAAGAGCCGCAGGTTGCAGACCCCTGGTCTATACGAAGTGCTCAGCCATCTTGCAACTGCGTTTATTATCAACATTGAACCATTTCAGGAGATGCACAAAGAGAACAAAATCAGTGAGTTACTTACATCATCTGCTTTAGAACCCTGTTCTTGAACGGTTTTTTGGAGTTCTTCTACCTGACTCTGTTCCTCCATCAAGCGTTGATTGGTTATTCTAAATAAAACGAGCAAATTAAACACGTTGAAAAGTCAGTTTTTAACAGCAAGGAGCAAACTAAAAGATACAGAAATATGGACATAATAAAAAAAAAAATCTTTGTGCACAAACCAATAGGATCTGATCCACGTTCCAACAGAGAAGTGCTTCTCTTCTTTCCAAACAAATCAAATGAATCAAAGCAATTATATTTTGTTTTTGCCCTTTTTGTGTTAAAAATCCAAAGAAAGGACATTTTCTATTGTTAACCACTTCCATAAGGGTTACATAAGAGTACAACACCAGTACTATGAGTGCTGGTGTGCTTAGAGCCAACCTGTTTTCTGTCTCCAGTTCACTCTTTCTTCTGTTGGCGTCTTCGAGCAGACTCTGCAACAGCGCAATCTTCTCGTTGTCAGATCCCTCGTGGGCCAGCTTCAGCATCTTGTTCTCATGTTGAAGACGAATCAGATGCTCTCTGTAGAAACACATGAGCCAAAACAAAGCAAGTCAAAACGCTGCACGTGATCCATGCGGTTTAGTCAATAAGATGTAGCACAACTTTGAAAACAAAGTGACCCCCATCACGACACAATGCCTGGCAAGTTTTCAGAAAGAAAAGACCAAAACTTAAAACTAATGTGTTCCTTTAAATTATAGCAAGTGACTAAAGAGATTGGATCACACAAAAAAAGAGGTGCAAATAGCTGCATTTTCCAACAGAAATATGAATCTATAATAATCTACAGATAAGTGCGTACAATTTACCAAAATACATGGATATGCAACAGCTAACTGAGTTTTTTGATGAAATATCACCCACGCTAAATCTTATTTCCATGTTCAAAAGCGTTCAGGATGTGGCATCCCCTCAAAGAACAACGTTTTGATAGTTTCTGCCTTATGGACTTCAGTAACTCGAGCTTGTGTTTTCCTAAAAAAGCAGCTTTTTGAAGATTAGGATTTTAGTACAAGTTCAAGGGTGGCATGGATGATTTATTTAGTGAAAAGATAAATACAAATAAAAAAAAAATCGGCCCTCTTAAAAGCAGATGGCATCTCAGTTTCTGGAGAAAAAGATGTCAACAAAACAACAAACTTCCGTATTTTTTGGACTATAAGACACTTAAAATCCTTTAATTTTCTCAAAAATCAACAGTGAGTCTTATGTATTCATTCAGGTTGTGCTTACTGACCTCAGACTAATTTGTGGTGCACGGCGCTCAAAAATCAGTCAAAATGAACTGGTTTCACTTAATGCACCTTATAATCCGGTGCACCTTATAGTATGAAAAATACAGTAACCTAAATCAGTAAAGCTAAAGAAAAGTATTAATGATTTAGACAATTGTGTACATTTGTAACTCAATGTATTTATTGATTTGTATTATTTTATATACTTTGCTGTCATATTTGTTGCTTTGTGAGTCGGCGATAATACAACTTGCCCATTAACCACAGTGCATCCTGGTGTCATGTCTTTCTCAGATAAGTGTCTCACACGAACCAAAATACTGACGTGAAAAATGCCAAAAGACTCGTTCGTTTACCGAATTTCAGGGGTGGTGATCTCAGCAGCCAGCGAGTCAGAGCCGTCGTTGCTGCCCAGTGGGAACAAACCTGGACCAACAGAGAACGGAGGTTAACCACAGTTTGATCTATGAACATGTCAAGATATCATCTGATGGCCAAGTCATCTTTTTACTTGACGTTAGCCGTCCCTCTTGAGCCTGGACGCAGTGTAGCTCTTCAATAGTCTCCTTCAACGAGTCCCTTTCTGTCCTCATACGCTGCAAAGGAGTGACGTTTAAACAGAAGTTTAAAGAAAATGGAGCATGAATATATTCATGTACAAATTAGCCAAATAAAGTGCTCACGTCTTTTTCTTTTTGTAGCGAGTCCACTTTCTCTTTGACACGTTTGTACTCAAACTCCATCTTGTCAGCCTTTTTCGACTCTTCTGACAGCCGGTTCTGAAGTTCAACCACCTGCGCAGAAAGAAGACACAAAGTGTAGAATAACTGGTGTTTGGGAGTGTGGTATAAACATACAGTACGGGGAAAATCATAATTGTGTGCCAGTACGATTGCTGCTGGTGAGGTACCTGTCTCTTGTAAGTCTCCAGCTGACCCTTTGTAGCGTTAGCTTTTCGAAGCTCTTCTTCCAAGCCGACATTAGTCTGCATTAGGACTGTGTTCTTCTCTTCCAAAAGTTTAATCTAGAGCACAAAAACAGCAAAGACTTATTTGTGTTTTGTCTTGCATTGATGCAATGTCTCCACTATTTTTCCCTTAGCATACAAAAGGGGTGATAATGTTTTTGCAACTTGAGAAAGCTCAATCAAGGAGCTCAGCAAACGTGACTTCGTACCTGTCTCCTGAGCAGCCCCATGTCCTCTAGTTTTTTTTTGTAGTGCTCTACTGTGCCCTCCAGTTTTGACACTTTATCAGACGAGTGCCTAAAAGTATAAACACAAAACTTTCAAACAACCAAACACGGACAAAAAAGGAGACGCTGCTTTATTTTGTGAATGTATGTTACATTTGTTAGACTAAAAGTCTACAAGTTTTTGTACGCTGCCACAATTCCTTCCATCAATATATTACAGACACTTTTAAAGTGAAAAATGAACTCTTTTTGCAGCAAATTGTACTTTACTCTAAAATGTCATTTCCAAAAATGAACAAATATCTCAAAAACAATGAATGCCATCTTTAAAAACAGGTTTTATTCCACTACTGTTCACCATAAGAAGCAACTCTCTTTTTGCTTTATGCATTTGGTTTGCGTACCTCAGATAAATCTCCGTGTGCTGACGAACACTATTTGCATCCTAAACTTACCTGAGGACATCCATCTCATCCTTGAGAGACTGTGCTTCATCAGCCAGAGTTGTGAGCTCTTCGTTCTGGGATTTCACATCCACAAGTTCTTTTTCCAGCTCCTCACAACGAATCCGGTAGTCGTCTTTTGCTGCCTCTAACCTACAGAAAATTGGGAACCATAACGATCATTACATACAAAGACGTGATTTGGAAATCAGTCCGTTCAATTATAACTCGTTCGATGATGATGGCTTTGTGTATTGCAGCTCCTCACCTGAACGTTTCCTCCTGGAGCTGCTCCAGCTGTGTTTGCAGCTGGAGATGTCTGCGTCCAGCAGGGCTGTTTATGTCCTCTATGGAGTCAGACTGGTTGAGTCTCTCCATCAGAACCTGGTTTTCTGCCAGCAAGCTGCTTTTTTCTTCTTGCAGAGCTGCCACCTAAGGAAGAGAAGGATGTGAAGGGGAGAGTAAAGATGGGACATGAGGGATCGGAGAGAGAGGATTAATGGGGTACAAAGAAATAAGCAGGGGGGGGGGGGGATTGAAGGTGGCACAGATCCAGAAATAGAGGAATGTCAGAAAGATAAAAGAGAAACAGGTTAGAAAAAATTTAATTGATTTTTTTTTAATCCTCTTAAACTACTTGCATGTGCATGTATTTATAACAAAACAGTTCTGTTAATAAGGTTTATAATCACTGCAAAATTAAGTTTTTACTGAGATAAAGTCACATCAGAGCACACATCAACAAGGCAAATGTTCATGTTTCCTTCGTAGCATGATAGTCAAGGAATCAAACTCCACACGAAGCAAAGCAGAAGCTGCATGTTGTCTTTTTCAAAATTATTACTAGTGATGCACAATATGGGATTTTTGGCCGATATGCCAATATGTTAAAACTTATTTGGCCGATAACCGATACCAATACTAATATTTTTTCCCTACACCTACTTACAGAGACTACACAGCTTTCTCTGCTGTGGAATTAAAATACCACATTATTCTGCATGGTCTTTGTCAATTTGACCTACTGTAAATGCAGATGGGGTCTGAAAATGATGTAAAACTTCAACTTGGATTATGTTTAATGTCAAATTTATTCATGATATTTACTCTAACACAATGACAACAATTGAACAGTGCAAATTTGTACATTTTTACACATCTAAATTCAACCTGTTCACAAGCAACAAGTGAAAAGTACATAAGTAGTTGTGCATTAATATATATACTTGACAGTTTCTTAAATTAAAATTTAACTTAAAACAGAAGCATTTTATATATGCGAGTTATTTTAATGGAATGGCTGATGTCCGATATTTAACTTTATTGCTAATATCGTCCGATACCAATACAATGATGATAATATCGTGCATCCCTAATTATTACCTAAAAGAAATGTCTCAAATCAAACATCCGTGTAGGTTTAATGAGCAATGTTTTGTCTAATAACTGATCAGTAAAACGTTGTACTTATTATCAAACTTCAGTGAAATTGATTGGATGGAGTCAAACCTTCAGAATAGTGACAAATAACAAGAAAACATTTCTACAAATTAATAAATATTACTTGTCAGGAGCATAAAACTAAAAAATGCTCACTATTAAATTTGATCAATTGCTGGGGGGGGGGGGGGGGGTAGAATTCCCCTTAAAGAAATGCACCTGCATGGTAGTACTTTTAATAAAACTTGAGACAATATTTGACACCATTATCTATTTTGTGCATTTTAAACATTCTTGAACTATATTGTAAATGCCTGCATATAAATAGCATGCTTCTCATATGATGTGCATTCTGGGAGAACACTGGTGTGCAAATTATCTCAAAGCGTATATCCCATCTTAAACATGAACGAGACTGCGCATAAAGCAGGAAACGATGAAGCAATGAGTTGTTTTTAAAGTCAAAGTTTTCTAAAGCACAATCAATCATGCCAGGTCCTGAGACACAGTAAGGCAACAGACCTGAAATAAAACAGTGAACGACTTTAAAAATCCTTCCGGAGCCTAAATACCAGCCTTTTTGTCTTGCTGCGGGTAAAGTAAAAAGCATGACACTCACAGAGGTAAAATACACCATGGGTTGTTAGTATGGCTGCAGACAATACTGAAGTAATGCCTGATGCGCTCCAAGAGCACCAAGTGTAAACGTGTGCACACAAATCTGTGCACAAACGTGTACACATGCACACGCAGTTTGGATAAAAGAGAATCTGGTGCAAGCGGAGTGAACCAGATCCAGAACTGCTCGACACAGCACACAGCATAAATGGAAGATAAAGAAAATGAAGTTTGGATTTACCCTCTCCTCTAGCTCATTAAAGTCTAACCTCAGTCTATCACGCTCCTCTTGGGCATGCAGGGCCTTTAAAACAAGGCACAGAGTGTTGAGACGGTGAGAAGAGAACAAAAAACTGCTGTACCACACAACAGAGCAGATTACCCTTTACACGTGCAGCTCTTTCTTTATGCAATAAGTGTAAATTGCTCACATTACTAAGTTTTAGTAACATGTAATGAAAGACTAAATATGCAGGAAATAAAAAACGCTTCTGAAAGTTTAACCTACCAACTGTAAATGTGCAACCATCAGTTAGTGAATGAGCTATAAAATAGATAAAATGTGTAATTCAAGGTTAGCTCTTCTGTGTCAGATATAAATTTATCAAAAGTTCAACAAACAACATGGTATAAGTTCTGTCTACTTTCCACACCAAGTACTCACAACTCCTCTTTTACAGAGTACTTTAGTAACATACCTGGTGGTAAAGGGATACAGTATGTTTTAAAGCAGGGGTGTCAAACTCACTTACAAAAAGGGGGCCAAAATTAAAACCTTTTTCAAACTAAGGGCCAATTTCAGAAACAACGTTAACTCAAGTCAGACACCCATCATGTTTTCTTGGTCACAGGTTCCTCAACAAGAGTTTGACTGGTCTCATTTGATGTTCTCTGTTGTGCTTTTGACATCATAATCAAAGATTACTGAAACAATTCAAGAGATAGAAGTATTTTATGTTCCACATATCATCTTGGGGGGCCAGATGTCAACGAGGGCCACATTTGGCCCCCGGGCCTTGAGTTTGACACATATGCCCTAAAGAGAGAATATTACAGCAAGAAACCAACCTGCAGGTCAAGCTCACGGCACCTCTGGGCAATCTCTTCTTTAGTAGCCAAAGCATCATTCAGCTCCTCTGCAGTCTTCTTCAGCTGTGAAAAGAAAACCTCATTAAAATCTCGCAGACGAAATGTGATTACTAGATTTATTGTCTATTGATATAACCAGACACAAAGAAAATATGGGCTCCTTCCAAATAATCTGTCCAAAAATGAAGAAATGAGCTTCTTTCTAAATTAATACCATAATTACAGTAGTCCCTCGCCACTTCATGGTTCGACTTTTGCAGACTCGCTCTTTTGCAGTTTTTCAAAGTAAGATTGGACATGACAAACAATTGGCTGATTGATGGATGAGCCGCAAGATCGGCATGTTTTTTTTTTTGTATTTAAAATCAATTATTTAAAAATATTTAGCACCTGCTGCACCTGTGTGCAGTACACATGTGCAGGGAGAAGCTTCCTCCTGCAGCGTGTCATGACCTCTGCTCTGCAGCGGAGAAGTGGGCGTGGCCAAGAGCGATGGCAGGTGGCAGAGAGAGATCATGACAAGCTGTGCTCTTTTGGAGCATTTAGAAACATTGTTTAGAATATTGCAAGTGTGGGAAGGGTTTTATATACACACACAAAAAATAAACTACTATTTACTACTTGTACTACTATTCCTACTTCACAGTTTTTCACTTATCGTGGTGGGGACTGAGAACGGAAACCCCAACGATAAACGAGGAACTATTTACATTTCCAACATGAAATATCTGTTAAGCGACACCTCATAATCATAAGTCAAGACTAGTTTATAAAAAAATCTATTTAAAAAGCGCTGATGAAATAAACTAAACCAGCATGAAACCGTAAAATAAAAGAGAAAACTAAACTAAAAGTAAAAGGAGAGTCTTTAACCATTCAAGTGTATTACACGACTATGCTCAAAATACAAACAAAAACTTGAAAAGTATTCAAAAGGAGAAAGAATTACATTATACAAAATTCAACTGGCATTCCTTGAGGAAACATGTTGCATATCAAAAGTTGTGAACAAAGGTCTTAAGCGGTCCTAGAGCTCAGGGCACTGGTATGTGTTAGGTATGACTCAGACACACAACTTCTCAACCATTAACCGTTGTTGTGTTTTTAAGGTTAATTAGCTGTGGCAGTTATAGATGTACTGCACATCCAGTAACTACTTTGAGAGTTTCGTTAAAATCCATCAGGTTCATGAAACATTTTGCTAAGAGACAGAGACATTCACAAGCTCATTACTACCTGCTCTTCATGGCAGTGGGTGATAAGAATATCTCCATACCTGTCTGTCTAGATCCACATACGACTCATTGCCTCCTGTGACTGGAGTCTCTTTACTCATCAACTACAGGGAATAAAAGTTTAAATATTACTAAAGATGTAAAAGTCAAACCAGTTGTGTTTGCGAATGGCATCTACCTCTTGAATGGCTGTCATGACAACGTGCTGTACCGATTCCTCCATCATCATTATGGTTTGGATGTATTCTAGAAATGACAGAGAAGCCGTAAGAACTTTCCAATCGGTCAGAAATACAGTAAAGATTTGAATTTGTTTTCTCCTACAAGCTGATAAGTGCAGGGTTTGTGTAAAAAAAACAAAGCACCTTGTTTCTGTTCACAGTTAACAGCACAGCCCAATATGAGCTGCAACATCCTCCCAAGTTCTGCTGCGTCCGAGTGTTCCCCAATCAGATTTACATCAGGTAGTGTGAAGTCATTAATGTGCTGGCCTAAGATCTAACAGAATATAAAGAAATATTTCGTTTGATCACTTCTGTAATGGTAAAAGGAGCTATAGTAGCTACAACTATACAATGGATGCTCAGCACAGATGTGGTTTATTTGAAGATTAGATTTAAAAATAAAACGAGCCTTCTTACCTCCTGATTATAGTCTAAAATGCCTTTTAGGACTTTTTTTAGATTGCTGATCTGAAAAAAGGAAGACATTTGGGCACATGTAAGTCCATAAAATTAGAAAGATGAAAAGGGTAATTTATTGTGATGACAAATGGACTCCAAAGATCGTAAAAGGTAGGACAGGGTCACGGAAGTGACGTTTAAACGATGCATTACTTGATATTATTGTGATTATTATACAATGCAACATTTTAACAACTGAGATTAAACTTTTCTTACCTTTAACCTCCAGTTGTCTCCAGCATCTGGTTTGATTCTGCTAATCCATGCATCATTGAAATACACCAAATCTCTAAAAAAAAATCAGAGATTTTATATATATATATATATATATATAGTTTAAATACATAAAACAAATGTTGACAGCTAAGCACCCCAAAATGACTGCAAGGGTGTCTTTAACAGAACATTAGGTTTGCATAAAAGCAGTAAAACGTATAAACGATTGATGACAAGACAAAAAAAGCTCACATTTTCTGCAGAACTTGAGCCATGACGATGCCACTTGTCAGATCTTCTACGGTCTTGCACGGTGCTTCCACTCCAAATGTCTGGATCTGAACACAGAGGGCACAAGAAAACATGATTAGGTTAAAATATTAGCACTGGAACCGTTTTATCACCTTAATATAATCTGTAAATGACATTCAACGTGAAAGACTCGCACCTTTTCTTCAAGAATCACAAAAATCACAGCTGAATGCTTCAGTGAGCTACTGATCACCTGTTTGGCAACTCCTTAGAAGCTCCACAGGCAAAGCTGGGGGTTAGACATGTTCTCAGGATTTGTCACAGAAAGAATAGTTTCAACAGTTTATTGTATTTTCTCCAACTACAGTGAAGCTGCTTCTCTCTTCTTACAGAGCTTAGCACCCATAGGTAACTTTCACTAACTTATCCAGCAGAGTTTGCTCGTCAACACTTAGTTCCCGTTACATCATCCCTATCGTTTTCAGATATTTTTCCAGTTCTCAGCCCGTTTTATTCGTTACATTCTCCTCTTTCTCGCGCCGCCCAGACAAAAAGACTGCAGCTCAAACGGAAATTATATTCTTCAGTCAAGACGCCAAAGGAGAAGGGGAAAAAAAAAAAAAAAAAAGAGAGGAATGCTGGAATTCAAACAGGAAGAGAACGAAGAAACACTGCATGTGCATCGTTTTGTCCTTTGACTTACCGGTATTCTTATTTGGCTTAAAAAAGCTTAACCTAACCACTAACTTTATATACTAACACTATTCACCATAAAAAAACAAACTGAACATTACAATGAGAATAATAGTGCTTTCAAAAAATAAAAATCCTTTAAGGGAGTGTGTACTCTCCTGTTTTGTTTTAGTAGAAAATCATGTTTAATGCTTCAATCCTTAAAATAAAAAAAATAAACATTTTATTTTATTTTAGGAAACCATTAATTAGTAAGTTTCTTTCGGCTGCTCTCTTCTTCAGGGGTCACCACAGCGAGAGGACACATGAAAGATTAGGCAGTTTTGTTTTACACTGGATGCCCTTCATGAAGTATCCTGGGATTGAACCCGCAACCGGCACTGGTTGACCGTGGCACTGACCACCAAGCTACCGCCGCCGCCTTAGGGAACCGTTAGTTAAATCAGTGTATTAAAAAGTATTTATGAAATGAATTAACAACATGACCACTGACTTGGTTTTTAAAAAACAGAGGAAAAACTAATTACCTGGTTACACATCACCAGTTACCATGAAGGGAGATAGTTTCCTGTTTCAGTTACAGTTTGATCAAGGTTACTTTAACTGGGATTCATTATTATCTTATGGGTTATGTTACTTCATGTTACTACTGTATATCTCAATATTAGTAAATCATGACACAGCTATGTGAAAAGCACAGATAGTAAATGTGAAGTATTTAACCCAACAGAAAACATTTACCGAGGAGAAGAAAGCTGAAACAACATAGAAGAAGCTACAGTGATGAAAATGGTTATGGATCTTAACCACAACATGTCAAATGCATCATTTCCCTTTCTGCAGGAAAGATAAGGAAACACGGAAAATTAAACAACGATCGCCGACAGTATTTTATGGCATCACACTGAAATGTCATCAATCTATAAAAGTTATAAAACATTTCAAACTGTATTTTTAATCTTTTAAACACCCTAAAACTAATTACGAAAACGCTGATCTGTGTGCAGCTGCAAGTTGACTTTACAAAAACCGTCTCTCGTTAGATAGGAGGATTTAAAAAGGAATGCTGTCCCGTGACGTCTGTTGTGCACATGCATCAAAGCAGTGCGGCTGCTTCACACTGTACATTGTGTGTCTGAATGAATGTCACTCTGTGCATTTACAGGTAAAATTAACTGCCAGTCAAAGGTTTGGTCCAACTCTGGAACTTGTACTGCATAAACACTAAACTCAGTAACTGTAGTGGCTAAAATGGTTATCAAAGCGCCAACCTGCTAATGACAGCAAATAAGAATTTTATTGCTTAACAGAAAAACGTGCAAGATATTTATTTTTATATATTTTCTCTAGATGAATACAATCAATTTGAATAATTTTAGCTGCAGTAACTGCTTTTTTTATATATTTACAAATGGGTGGATGTAGCTCCACCCTCACACCATCAGGTCACCTCTACTAATCAGATAATTAAAATAAAACACGCACAAAATAACGCAGCGAAGAGCCAAGTTAAAATGCATGAACGCATGCATGAAAAATGATTTTGAATGAAAACCACCTGATATACAAACTTATCTACAACAAAAATATTTTACAGGCTCGCTTGTTCCAGATTACTTGTTTCTAAAACACATTCAAAAAAAGTCAACTGTTCCGATTATATTACTTAGTTTACAACAAATCTGTACTAATCTGAATTGCACTAAAATGTGACACTCCTCATTTTGTAGATCCATTAAAAACATACACTAAAAAGGTTAATCCCTGCAAAAATGTAAACTCTTAAGATACTTTAATAAGCTAACATAAGAAGAAATTCATTTTCCAAGTTACATCCTGAAGTAAAGTGATTCAGCCCAGGATCAAACAAAAGAACTGACAGAGGTCAAAGAGGAAATCCACACCTATTAGTTTGTGGAAACATCTGGGGAGGGAGATGCTCAAGCTGTCCACTGCACCAGGAAACACTGAGTTTTCTTTACCACGTTTATTCTGTAAACTATGTTTTAGTTTTACTGTGAAACCATCCACCCATCATTCACTGGTGCCCATATCCAGCAGTTACTATGCAAGAGACAGGGGGCACCCTGGACAGGTCGCAAGTCCATCACAGGGACACACAGAGACAAATAATCATTCACTCGCTCACTCACATCTAGGAATAATTTAGAGTTACCAGTTAAGACTAACATGCATGTTTTTGGTCTCCGGCCAGGATTCGATCCAGCGAACGTCTCGCTGAGCGTCAACAGCTCTACCAACTGAGCCACTGTGCTGCGAAACCATGTGGCCCAAATGATTACAGAGTAAAAGCAAGTACTTTCAAAATCGTTCTTTTTTCCCCCACTGCATAGTTGCAAGTAAATATCAATGAGTATGAATTATAATCACTTTGTTATGAGCATTACTTTAATCCCTAGATAACTTTGTCAGCCGTTATCCTCGTTGAGAGCTAAAATTGCTAAAATCAATTATATGACGCTTTCATTATGCATTAATTTAAACAACAAAGTAGTTGCTGTTGCATATGTTTTAAATAAAATACAGTTTTGTGTGATTTACAGTTTAGAGATGTAAGGGGCACCTGCCAGGTTCTTCATCTCAATGAAAACGTCTACGTGTCAGCTTCACTGAAGGTTATCAATAAATTGATTACGTATGTGATAATGCGGACATGGAAGCAAATTGACTTACTGCTCCTGTGGGACACATTTAAAGTTTTGTGATTCATAGCATAAACCGTCCTCTGGCTGATGTAAATATAAAAATGTTTTTGTTATACACAACGCTGAATTATACGGGCAGTTTGTGTGGCAACATTTGCCCAAAGCAGAGTTTCCAAAACATGACATCTCAGATAATCTACTCACGATGCTTTGGTAATGTGACTTAATGCAAGCTACAACTAGTTTTTTAAATTTTTATAAAATGCTACTTTGTTTTTTGCATACAAATATATTTAGACATATGCTTGAATCTATGTGCTTGCTAAGCACACCTAAACCTTTCTTAAATTAATAGTCAAATTGCCATCAATGTCTTCAAAATAATGATGGGAAATCACAGCCATACATTAATATTTTTAAAATAAATTGAACAATGAATGAGATTTGGGGTGTTCCTTTCAACAATAACAGTCTGGCAGCTCTTCTATTTGTGTTTTTTATAAAACATTAAGGCTTGGATTTGAACTATGTGGGTTTACAGATGGAAATCAGTGCTCACAAAGTTACTGTGTAACAGCTGGATAAGAAAGAATGAGGAAGGACATCAGGCCACACTGAACAACAATGACAGGAATTCAACCCAAAGCAGACACTGCTATGGAAAAGTCTTCACGAATCAGTGGCTTATAATGGTTGTTTTTGTTCTGTTTGAATAAGAAAGCAGATCAAAAAGTTGAGCTAATAGTAGATTAAAAAAAAACCGCATAAAAATGAAGTAACGCAATGCCATTATAGATGCTGATAAAAAAGCTAAATCCAGAAAACAGCTGGCCTGCATACGTAACCAAAATGAGCCTGTGTGTCATTTTCCAGCTAACGCTAGCTCGCTAAGCTATCATTAGCTTTGTATGCTAACTAGCATCGCCGGCGAGCAGTCTGTCACAGGAAAACAAACGCCGTCATTTCATTATTTACCCATGTTAAAAGACTTTCACAGAGCTCCATTCGATCCAACGTCTCCGATGTACTCATTGTTACCAAACGTAGACCGACTCGTCGACGGGAGCTCGAACTTAACCGTGAGCTTCATATACTCCCGATCTCTCTCAGGCTCTTTGGGTGTCTCACGTCGGGTTCGCTGCATTGACAGACTGGCGTATACCGGAGACCGGCTGGCGGGGGCGGAGTCATCCCCCTCAGTAAAAGAAAATTACCACTTCTATCAGACAATTATAGTATTTTACGTTGTCTTTATGCATCTTCTCAAAATATAATCTTATCTATGAGATAAGGGGTGATCAAAATGGGAGCCAGCCATGTGTGATAGAGCCAAGACTAACATTAAATAAGTTAACACATAAACAAAGACACCAAAACCAACAATTAGGGAATTTGCCAACAATCCTGATGGTCAAATACTTTTGGACTCCATAACAAAACCACTGGATTATTTCATATTTTTTTGCAACACATTAATTTCTAATTAAGTGCTGTTGTGACCAATTAAAAAAAAAGATAGAAGATGGAATCAAAATACTGTCCCCCAGCACAAGCAGAGTAATATTGTGTATGTTGTTCAGTATCAGGAGGGTGATCAGTCTTATATTGGGGAAACTAAACAGCCACTAGCCAAAAGGATGGACCAGCACAGAAGATCAACGTTATCAGGCCAGGACTCTGCGGTCTACACTCTATTATTATATTATATATTATATATATTATTTAGCATATCAGGATAAAATACTGTACAGTATCAAAAATGTACCTACCGTACTTTCTGGCGTATAAGTAGCAGTTCTTTTGCATAGACTAGTCAGTCCTGCAACTTATACGCCAAAGCAACTTATATACGTTTTTTTTTTCCTTCATATTCATAACTCAGTTTTTGACTGACTCTTTAAATCTCGAAGAACTGCAACTGCGAGTCCGCCCGTGCGCGCTCGCTGCACTCAACCGGTGGAGGAACGTGGCTCTGGCCGCAATGGATGGATGGAGCCGTGCCGCCCAGGTGAAATGAAGCTGTTTTGATTGTTAAATGCATAATAAATGTGACTTGTACGCCGAAGCGACTTATCTATAGTTTCCCACTTCACAATGCTTTTTTTGACTGATGTGACTTATACGCCGGAAAATACGGTACATAGTAGGTTACAACTGGAAAGAGAGAAATCTACTCCCGTCTTTTGCAACAATATTTTCTGAATACTTTTACATGTACTTGTTTCACAAATTAAATCACTAGCATCATGGTTTGAAATGCATAATTTCATTTTTAACTTCTGAAGCAGATTGCATTTCTCAAATAATGAGTCTTTCACCTCTAGACTATCATCCTCTGAATACCTAATCACACTTTGGCATGTAGGCCTACCAGTACACACCTTAAGATACCGAGTCAGATTTAAAATGACGAAACTCTGGTGCAAATTAGGAGGTCAAGGGGTCATACTAACAGCAACAATATGGTTAGATTTGGTCAGATGTAGAAAGGTAAAACATAATCTAAAACCTTGGATATTTAACCTTTTTTTTTGTTTTAAGATAATATACAAAATGTAACAACAAAAAGTGCAGCATCAAACGATATGTTCAACTATCTTTTAAAAGAAAATCTGTGTATAAATAATAGACACCATAGGAATTTACAATATTTATACATATTTACATCTCACAATGCCATAACTTCAGTTCTGGCCATCAGAGAACAATTAAGAACCTGCACATTCGTCCATATATTCATATTTGTACACGTTTAGTTCTGTTCATAGCCACAGAGGGTGGGAGCTGCATGGATAAATTATTTTATTAGGATCTGTGACAAAACCACTGATATATTGCTGTGACTAGACTTTTGAACAAAGTATGCAATTGTTCACATAAATACAATAAACTCCTTAAAAACAAACAGGAAAAGCAACATTTTTCTTCCTTCAGTAGTATCAATTAATACATTCAAGTTTTGCAGCACAAAGCTAGTTCCTTCAAGAAGTTTCTCGTATTCATTACGCACCCTGAAATCACCTTGCCAAAAAATTAAACACTGTTCACACTTGTTTCAACATAAAACATGTTACTAAACAGTCATTTAAGAAAATCAGCTTTGAGCAGAAATGACAAATATTTGAAGACTGTATCGTGCGCGTAGTTTTTCCTCCCACACAAACTTTTCTTAAAAGTGGAAAAACAGAAGTTTTACATTCAGAATTGTCCAGGACTAGCTCAACAATTCCAGTTAGGCTTCTTAAACAAAATCACTGCTTTACCACTTTAAAAAAAACAACAACAACTAAACAATAGGATCATGCTTGTGTTAAGATTCGTCTCATGAGTAATGTGTTTGTGCAGATCCATGCAGTAAGCTTCAGATTATATTCAAATAATCAACTGAAACTGCAGCATTATTCAGGGGTTCCCATAGTTTAACAAGTTGTGCTTACAGGGTGAAGAATCACTGTGAATGGTAGAAATGGTAAATCTAGAACTGACCATTCAAATGGGAAATCATTAATTAAAGACATCCTTATTACAAGACTTCAAGGTCATTGTACACCTCAGCTGCCTCCACTGATATTTTCTATGGAAACTTTTACACACAGGTTCAACAACCTTGCCTCTCTTCAGTGAGGAAATAAAAAGCCCATTTAATTCAAGCAAAACCCTCTGAGAAAACACCATTAATGAGCAGCTCTTAGAACATTTAATCAGTTTTAACAAGTCAAACGTTACTTTCACTCCTCTCAAAGCCTCTATAAGTTACCGCCTAGCCGTTCAGTCTCTGTGTGACCACTTCTCTGTACATGATGGAGATGTACACAAACAGAAGGAGGATCACGAAGAAATCGTCCAGTAAACCCAGGAGGCCGAAAAGGGCTTCGGGGAGAATGTCGAGCGGGGAGGCCAGGTATGTGATAGCACCTATCAGGCAGAGAAGAATGCGAATCCTGAACATCCAGAAGAGGCCGCCCACGGAAAACATCTCCCTGAAGGCGTGACGCAGCAGGGTGGGAACGTCCCGCAGTCTGTCCATTATCTGAGGGAAGGTGTAAAAAAAACAGACGAATGAGCTCAACTAAAAGAAAATGCTTGTGATTGTGCTGCAAACTTTAAAAAAAATAGTGTAAAACCTATATTCTAAAAATTTAAAACTATATAAATAAATAGTTATCTATTAAACGTTTTCGTTTCAGTACGTAATAATATTTAAACAACTTAAAAAAAGCATTAAAACAAAGAATACTCACAGATCTTGGCTGTCCTGAGAACCTACGGTTGTAATCGTTGATGTCTCTTAATATCAGCTGAGGTTCTGCTTCACCATCCTGTACCCTCTGAGGAGTGGTGTGTTCGTGGAATAGTGGGAAGAGAAGTGTTACCTGCGATTAAAAAGAAAAAAGATGACAGGGTTATTAAAAAAAAAAGACACTAGGACAACTGTTCCTATTTACAAAAACAGTATCCCTCGTAACACACAGCTGGCTTCTCGTAAAGTTCGAGATGCAGACGCTGCATGCACAATGAACGCAGTTGAGCCCGGCTCAGGGTTGCCAGATAAATTTAAAATGTCTCCTTTTCTATCCACGTTCAATAAAAACACACACCTCATCTTAGACCATCTTTACTCAGCAGCACATATGACAGTTTAGGTCAAAATACTATTATTTAAATTCACAGTACTATAGTTCATAATTTCTTATCTGGCAACCCGACTGACATGGAACCTACAGTGTTTTCGTGCTCATTTTTTGTTTATTACCCCCCCAATAAACAATGAAAAATTTCCAGAGATTGTTCTCGTGTTAACAGGGCCTTATAGCAGGTAGATCACTTTGACTCGGTCACTTTAAAAGTAGCTCGCATGCTGGAAAAGAGTGGGCATCCCTGGTCTAGTCTTATTGCTTATAGCTTTAAATGATCTGGAAATAGTCTATTCTCCTTACTTTCTATCCTGTCAATATCACAGTTATGCTTTAAGCTTTAAGTCAGCTGTTCTGCATTGATCTTCTTGTCATTTAACTGTCATTCTCAGTTTAAGAGTATGTTTGTAAAACGTAAAGCTTTTGCCAACTCTCTTCTGACATCACCTAAGGATCTGAACATCAGCTACATGTTCAGTAGTATTTTGGAGGTTCATTAGAAAAGACAGAATGCTGCAAACTAACGGTCGAATATATTACAAGTCTCACCATTTGTCTGCAGATTGGGCAGTGGATAGCTCCCAGCCAGGTGCCATATCTCCAGTAAGCTATGATGCAGGAACCTATACAGGAATTAGGACAGCGCATGAGAGCAGCTAAAAAACAAGAGGGAACTTAGAGCATCTGATATGAACTCTTAATCTTTATCATTTTTTAATCTTTAATTTAATTTATACACATTTTTACTTCGTTTGTAGGACTAGGATGTGTGGAATAGTTCTTACCACAGAAAAGATGTCCACAGTTTGTTTCCACGGGTAGAAGAGCCTGTTGTAAACACACAGGGCAAGACATGTCTGCGTAATACTGCTGCCTGGCGTCTGCCTGAGGATTTTCATCCTGGAAAACAGAAACCCCACGTGTAAAACTCACGCAAAAAAGGTGAACTATGCCACATTTAGAACGCACTGTTTTCAAACTGAAAAACACATTATGCAAGTTCTGTTTAAACAGTTGTAATTTAAGCCTCTTGGTAGTTTCCTGTAGCGGTTAACCAACACATTGTTTTGACGTTTCTCCTTCTCTACAACTCTTCATAATGTAAATATTCAAGTGACGCTGCACATTTAAAAACACTGATTACAACTGCACAGAAATGATGATCATTTTAAAGCTCAAGTTCCAACAAAACGGTAAATGGAATGTACTTATATAGCACCTTTCTATCTTATCAAGACACTCAAAGTGTTTACACTACAATCTGTGTCCTCATCTACCCCTTCATACAGCACTCTACTAGATCTATATAAAGCTAATTGAACAAATCATTCTAAAGAGTGCTTCTAATCAGAGCTTTATCACATTCATACACCGATGGGACACACATCGGAGGCCATCTTTGTGAAGATGTCCATCGTTAAATAGGGGCAGAGGCCTCCGGATTCAACTGTTCCCCTCTTATAATGCTGTTATTGCTAGTATCACTCAGCTCTCTGAATAGCAAGCAGCCATCATGGTTGATCCACTATGAGAAGGTGCTGTTTATAAAACTGAGTTTCTTTCAGCGCCTCAGACTGAAGAAGTCTTTTGGATAAAATAATCCATCCACAGGGCCTTACTTACCCTCGTTAGGTTAGCTCGGAAAGATCTGTGCTGCTTTTGTCGCCTTACCTGCTCAGTTTGAAGCTGTTGTCGGATGGCTCGAACATGCTCCTGATTTTCAGGATGAATATTTTGCTCGTCCTGTCTGTAAAAGACAAAAACAGCTCACAACGTGTCACGTAACTGTTATATCTAACCGCACACTGATGCGTTTATATTTGATATTTAGAAACAAACAAGGATAGCCAGTTTTGAGTAATTTGAATTTTGAGGCTTATTTACCAACACATTAAATGGCAAAATATATTGTTATGCTTATTGTTTGATCAATTCTGTCAAACCAATCCGAGGTTAAAGATAATATTTTAAAAAGTCTGATTTGAGGCTTACCTGCAAAGCAAAGTGAGGAGGCCTGCGAGGAAGGTGAAACTGAGGACCACAACAAATAAGACCTGGTTACTGACACCTTCTATGATGGTGTCCTCATCTTGGATCAGAAAGTCCACGTCCCCACATTGACTATCCTCCATAATCTACGCTCATAGTCTGCAACTCTGAAAAACAAAGGGAAAACAAGAGGTCAGCAACTTCATGAATAAATGGTCTGATTCTAATTAAACTAATTAAAACCAAAAACTTTACCAGCAGTATCTGGGATGTATTTTCATTCGTTTTTTTTAAACAAGTACCTTTCTCCACTTGTGCACTAAATAATACCAGTGGGTCACGAGGGTTGATTGAACACTAAACTTTAAAAATAGGCTCGTGTT